ATCTTTTTCATCATGCTTATTCATAGTGTGGTCCTTAATGAGTTATAGCTTATATGCATGAGAATCCATGATCATGCATAGTATCCATTGATTACTTTGCCTCAAATCCATAATTTAGTCACATTGTCACTCAATTTCCAGAACTTTTTCATCACGTTTTTACCTATGGGAGTTCATAATCTTTCCATACAAGACTGTTTTGGTGGTCTGAGGGACCACCGTGTATAGTTTGACCATAACTCTCTTGTTCTTTATCTGATTCGATTCAAACCTTTTGCATTCTGTTTTGGATGATAATGCCAATGTGTTGAGATTTTAAAAAGTTATTTTAAGGTGTGTAATTGCTTTCCATTTGTATTAGATACTCTTGTGAGATTGAACCATTTTTGTACAATCCGAAGGGACAAAATTAAGGCTTTATAGGGCCCGATTGCGTGGCCCCGACGTAAAAAGTTCGAAACATGGCTTCCCTATTTTAATTTGGCATTTTAATTCCCTGTTTAGTTGATTTTATTCCTTAGAATTTTGTTTAGAGTAGTTGCATAATATATTTAAGCTTTGAGACACAGTTTATGTAATATGTGCTATAAAAATGTAATTCATACGCTAGTCTTGCTTTATATGTAATTGCCCCATAAGGGGTTGGTATTTAGGTTATTTACAATGGTTATATAAGACTAGAAATGGTTGTAATTGTTATTCAAAGGGTTATAACTTATTCACTTAGCTTGGTTTTTAGCAAGTGGCTTGTTGAAGGTGCCCATTTTGCCTTGTTTTTGGGCTTGGAAATTTGCTCTAGTCTTGTATCCACTATCACATATTTCAGAAGAACCCATTAAAAAGAAAATTCAAAAGAATTCTTGGTATAGATCATGTTGTTATACTTGATTCACCCACCATGCCAATTTAACAAATTTTTGTTGTGAAAATCATGGCCAAATATCTAACCAGCCACCAATTTTGGTAGAATTCAGCAGAGTTAAATATAACACTTACATGGAATTTGGATCAATTTCAAAGAAAATTTAGCATTTGGACCCTTAATTTTCTTTTTCTTTTCATTTTTTCCTTTTTTCTCTAAACAATTGAAGAGCCCAGTTACCCCAGTAATACTGAATTTGGAAACTAGCAAGAATGTGAATCCCATGGCGTGAATTTCTAACTTCAAGGCTCCATTATAGGGTTCCAGCTCCATATCTGAACCAGACATTTGCGGGTGTAATCTCAGCTTAAACACAAACACACAGACACACACATTTCACCAAAGCAGACATCTCCCACACCCAAACAAAGCTACGTCACCTAGACACGTCATTTTTTAGGCCTCATCACATGTCGACACTTGGACATTGTGTCAACACTTTTAGACATGAAAGCACAAACAAACACTCTTCATCAAACCAAACTTCTCCCATACTAGAAGAAGGAAGTCTTTCAGACTCCACGAGAAGGCCCTAAATTATAAATTCCTAGCAGAAAAAAGCAATGACTCTTTTCATCTGTTTATATGAAAAAAATGCTTCTTTTCATCTGCTTATATGAAAAGAGCACTTCAAAACTCCTTTCACAATACACCAGTGCTTCAAAAATCGAACTCAGGTGCCAACTTGGTCACTCCCAAGACCAACTCGCTGTGTAAAACAATAAACATGAAAATGCTCAACAAGTTCTTCCAAATTTTGTGACAAAGATTTCTGCGGAGTGTAGGCCATGAGATTTGAACCCCAGCTCATCAACTAAACATAACAAAATTCTATCAAACCAGATGGAGCACTCTGTTAGTCAAATCAACAAAAAAAATATATAAAAGGAAAAACTCAGGCACATCCCAACATTTTCATTTATAAAACTTGGTTACTGTATAACTCAAGTTGACATGGTTAGTTCTTGCAACGAAATGTATGTCATTTGCTGATCTCATGAACAAAAAATATAGAAGAAGAAGAAAAAGACAATTGTTTTTCTGAACAATTCACCGTGCTATGATTCTTAAGCTCAGTCTCAAGTTCTCAAGACCTGCAACAAACGACATAATTATGAAAATCGTCTACAAAATGACATTGTTTCAAGGGGACTCAGACACAGCGTAAAAAAACGATGAATTAGCTACAAGGAAAATCAGATTGAATGAGAAGCCACTTCCCCGAGTCCTAATTAAAATCCCAGATTTAGATCTCCAGAAATCAATCCAAAAGTCCTTGTCAAAATCCTTTTTGATAAGTGTTACAAGTCATACTCTCTTCCCCTTGTCAAAAGCCCTTTCACAGAAGTTCCAAGTCATACGCTTAATCATAGGACAAAGCCATTTTCCCACTCCAAGATTTAATGTCAATAATTCCTCGGGATCGACTTGTATTCTGAGAATGCATCAGATGCATTGCATAAGAATCAAAAATCTAGTATCAAATGGTGCTAACTTCACAAAATCAGTTTCCATAACCAATATTTCAGCTGGTTGCTGACAAGGAACAATCCCTCCCTTTAATGCAATTGCATAAACCTTACCAGCATCAAAGACCCGACCCAATTGATTAAATTCTTGAACCAAGTGCTGTATGCAGCTTTACTAGGACTTGTTTGTCTCTCTAACATGAGTTTCATCACACCCATTGCATCATCCACCCTCCCCTTGCTACGAAGCTTCTTAATCACAGTGTTATAAGTCATTCTCTACGGAGGAAGCCCATTTTCGTTCATTTCACTTAGAATTGACAAAGCTTTCCCCATCTCTCCTCTTGGGGGAAGAGAATGAATCATTAGACAATTAAGTATGAGCAGATGGTACATACGCCAACTCCCCAATTCTCCTAAAAACTGTCTCTACATCTACCAAAGAGATTTCTTTACACAAAGAAAGTCTACAAAGACCTCGAGCAAGCTTATTCAAGGTTTTTTCACGTGGTCTGGCCATTCGATCATAAAATTGCAGACCCATTTTGATTTTATTCCATTTCAACAAACCATAAGGTAAAGTTGCATAGCTAATGAAATCAGGCTTAATTTTCCTCTCAATCATCTCCTGTAAAAGGCTCAACCCCTCTAAAAGTCTTTCCTTCTTTATAGCAACCATTGAACAAAGCATTATAAGCCATTGGGGTTGGCTTGATACCTGCATTAATGGCTTCCTCAAGCAATACCCCTTCATCTTCATCTGATCGCCCCACTTTACAAAGACCATCCATGCCATGTGTACATGTATAAATGTCTGGTTTTCACATAACTTTTGAGTAATTTCATTGAACAATTCAACAGCTTCCTTAACTCTACCAACTGAGCAGAGCCCAACAGTCAATTTATTGAAATTGTAAGTTTTGGGTTCAAATCCTCTCTCATGGTTCAAAAGAGGTTCATAGCCATTTAAATTTTGGGTGATTTGAGAAAACAGAGGAGCATTGTAGAGTGATGAAGAAAATGTTTTCACCTGATTGGAAGTAGCTGGATTTGAGGAGAGAGAAGAGGATGGTGTTGTAGGAGTAAGAGGGGCCTTAGGGAGAGAGACGTTAAGGGGAACTCTAGTTCAAAAGAGGGATTGAATGCTGAAGTGTTAGGTATAGAAATGTAGAGAGAGAAAGTGAGATAAAGTCATTAATAGTTGATAGGGAGATGAAGGTTAGAGAGAGAGAGCTAAGAGGAAAGAGGATAAAAGTAGTGAAAGAGAGAACTCAGGAGGAAGAGGAAGGAGAGAGGAAGAGGAGACAGAAAGAGAGAGAGAGAGAGAGAGAGAGAAGAAAGCTTACATATTTGGGGACCGGGAATGCCTCTTCTTTTGTTCTTTGGGCGAGAATGCTTTTTTTCTTAGGCCACGGTTTTGAGATAAAGGAGAGCGAAAATAAAAACATGAAGTGCCGCTCTCCATGGGGTGGGTTGGATGACCGCACGTCACGTTTTTGCATGAGATGGTCTTCCCAAACCATAAACCTCACCGATAACCAAGCTTGGAACTTGGCCAGTGAATTGGAACTGCAGTTGTATGATAACTGAAGTTCCAGTTGACAAACACACCCTTAGAAAGATTTGAATCACCACAGACTCCAATTACAAAAGAGATTGAGTCTCATGTTTATAATTCCAGCAAATCTGAGATATAACATATATTTCACCAGAAAATAGTTTTCCCCATAATTGCTTGAAGCGGGACTGCGAGAGGATCAACACTTAGGTTGGGATATCCACAGCTATAGTTTTCCCAATTAGGCTGCTCCAATTTTTATCATAACTTCATACTTGAAGCTGGATTCTTTTAGTTTATCTTGTAGGTAACTTATGCTTATTCTTTCCAGCTTCCATGGTCCACAAAAGAAATGTAATTGTGCTGCAAGAAACTGACAACTGAAAAAGAGTTCCTCAAACTCCTTGAGTATTGGGGTGAACTGAAAACTCTTCTAGCTAGATATACTTCGTAAGATTCAAAAAATTTTCACCTGCTTGAGTCAGATGAAAAATCAACATTTTTCTACAATATAGACAAGAGATGCGACTTTGATTTCCATCTAGCTTGAAAAAGTGGATGTATTCCAATAACCATGAAATAGGAGGAGATGCACTAAGATATTATTCACGGCATCAGTGAAATGTTGATGCCTTCGTAACTTGTTATCTAATTCAAGCGTATCTAGACTGATCTATATTCACACCAGAAATTCAGTTTCCTATCAGTGACACACCGCCTAAATTTGTGTAGTTTATAGAAAGAATAGAATGTTCTATAACTGGAATAAAGCAAAAATCATACAAGTCCTGTCCTTAATAGAAGACTCTTAGAAACAATTTTTGAGCAACAACAAGCAATCCCAGCAATTCAGCATTGCACAAACAGAAAATGCATAAAGTCGACTCAATTCATATTCCACAAATGAAAGCTTAGATGGCTGGTAACAGGCCGAAGTGCCCCAGATGGGAAATATTGGATTGTGAACAAGCACATAATCAGCAATTTGCTTATGGTAAGATCATTAAAGATATCCAATAACATCTAGACAAGCCAAGCAGAAACTCCACACCTTGTAGACGAGTCCAATAGAAATTCCAGCAATCAAGAGGAAAAAGGGCATAACAAAATCGGCCAGCCTTAGACCATCCCAAGGAGCATGAGCCACAAAAGGAATTATTGAACCAGCATAATCAACAAAGATCATCAACTGCATTATAGAAGAAAGTCATATAACTAAAGTCAAGAATGACGCCTGGAAGTTTGAAACCCTTAAAGCCTATGCACTTAAAATCAGTCCATTACAAAGATTTTGAAGTTTTCTATGAGCATCATAAGCAAATATACAAACACCGGAGTTACGGATATTCAAGCACAAGAAACACAAGCAGTTAGAGTTGTATGATAAACAAACTACAAACTGCTTCCAAACATTAAAATGCCAACAAGATCACTCCCCTTCCTTATTTTGAGAATATTTTTGGCTTTTCCATAAATAATAAATTCAATTTTTGACCTTACGAAGATTGTTCATTAATATCTCAAGAAATGCATTCAAATGAAATGAATAAACAATATATGCTTTAAGCAATCTGAGTGTAGGGTTTTTATTTCTAAGAAATTGAACTAATGTAGCTTTTGGCGAGGACAATAGGAAAAGTGTAAAAAGGATACTTAAAACAATTGCTTTTTGACGACATTTGAGTTATGTATCTCTGAGAAGACTGGAATGCAAATTAGAGGATGAAGCACGAGACCACTCTATATACTCTTTGCATGTGCAAGGATGCCACGAATGCCATTGATACATGGTCACAAAGTGTACATAGAGAGTGGGATATGGGACATTGCCATGCCTATGTTTGAATTCCTAGGTAAAGCCATTGTCATTTTGGGGATATTTTAAGTAGGTTGACAACAAGTCCATGCCCTAAGACACTATGTATTCTCGCATAATATAAAACACCAAGCCATTGTGAGAATGAGAAGACAAAGGCTGTGTTTTCCTCCTCATTCCCTAGATGCATCTAATGTTTGGGTGACAGAACCATGCATGGGAGCCACAACCATGGCTTCAGATGATTTCCTTCCACAAAAGATAAAGAGGAAGGCACAGAAAGCAAAGAAAAGAAATAGCTTAATGGGCAATAGAAAAAAACCTGTTTACTAGTTTATAAAACTTGAACAACCATATAAAAGTGTTTCATAAAACCATCAGTGACTGTTGTGTGAATTGATGAGGTATAAAAGGATAGCTCACCTTCTCAACATATAAGTTTGGGGATTTGGTACTCGTGTTATTTTTAAGTTGTTGTGTAAGGCGTAAAACTGCATACAAAGAGGGCCAAGTTTTGGCTTCCAGAAAAGAAATCATCCTCAATTCTCTGACCAACAACACGAGAGGTTAGTTTCCAGACATTTGTTTACGTTGAAACCACTGAATGCATGGATTGGAGCCAAAATTTGTCAGTTTCATATCAAAGTGTGTTCAGTGAGTGAGGAGACAACTTGTCAGTTTTTGTCATTTTCATATGTTTTAGGTTCCCAAGAGCCATGCCATTCCAAAAATAACCTACATGTAGACACGTTTTCTCAACATCTTTTCTTTAAATTTCATAATAAATGTACTAATGCAATATAAAATCACACATCTCCCATATTTAAATATGTAGATACATATCGTGTTTGAAAGGTCATTTTTGAGATTGGCATTTGTAACTCATATATGTGTAAGACGCCAATACACATATCCATACAAAGAAAATAGATATTAGTCAGGCCCTTAGGCCATAACCTCATAACAGGAAGAGAGGTACTGAGCAAAAGTTCACAAAATCACATAAGGAATATGAGTTATTTCCTTCCAAACATATGCAAGTAATAACAAAGGAATGCAAGTGTAGTTTGATTTCTAATTATTTCATTTTAGGCATTAAGACTTGATTAGCTGGAGCTTTCTAACTCCACGAGGGAAAATTATGCGATATTCACAGCTTTAGGAAATTGGGTGTAGAACGATTCGAGTGAATCATCGCCGCAGAAAAGTACTCTCACATACTCCCCTGTTTTACACATCCAAAGCTTGAGATAAACTCAAGATTCAGGACAGTGAAGGGGGCAAAGAAGATTGGACTAGACTTGCTATTCATCAATATGAACACTTGCGATCAATGCAAATGTCAACATGTTCCATCCCACTTGGCATAAAAGTGAGAATTCAACTAGCAATTAGTAAAAAAGATACTCCACTCGCAAGCCACAAACTCGAGAGCACACTAGTTGGAGTGGGGAGAATCTGAAGCTCCATGAATCTATGAAGAACCCTCCCTTATTCCACATTGAATTTAATGCAGGAGCATTTCAAAGAAGAAGTGAAGGGAGAGATTGCTTACAGCGACTGTGAAGCCACGGAATACATCAAGAGATGCGAGCCGAGGTTGAGAAGGAGGGATAGAGTGAGACTGCTGCTCATGGCTCCTAAGCTCCTCCTCCTCTGCTCTCAACAACACATATGGAGCACCCGTCATTGTTACGTGCACAAAGGATATTCCGCCTGAGCCCTAAAACGCACGGAAACGGAGGGGCGGGGTCGCCTCTCCCATCTCCAACAACCGGGTTGCAGGAGAATGTTTGGTGACAAAATAAGCGACTGTACGAAAAGGGCCACAACGAGGAGGAGTTGGGCTTTTACTTTGTTCCGACCTTTGGCCGCGCTTTCAGGCAATGGGTCCCACTCACGTCAGCCTGATTTTTTCCTAGGAAATAGATATGGGTACCGTGGGTTGTTTTCTCATGCCTGTGATCGCGCCATCTTTTTTGTGTCTTAATACGGGGTTGGTGGGGCCGATGGTCATTGTATCGTTTTCTTTTGTTATCTTTTCATTATTTTTTGTCTTTTTTTTTTTTTTAAATAGTTTAAGAGATTTTATCAAATAACACCGAAGAATAGGCTTGTCATGCAACTTACCTCTGACCAAACTTTTTTCCCCACTTCTTACCTAAAACTATATTTTTCTAGCAAATACCTTCAAATAAAAAAAGATATTTTTTTTTAACAAAAATGCATTTTTTCATACATAAAAAATTAATTTTGGCCGGACATTCACGTGTCATTTACCAATTGCCAAACCCCGTTAAACTAAAAACAAAGTGTCGGACCGCTCTTTGATATTCCCCGATCGTACTTTAGACCTATTGTCGAACCGCATGGGTCTATTGCCAGACCGCAGTGACCTTTTGCCAGACCGCTCTTTGGCAATGTTGGACCTCATGGGCCTATTGTCGGACCTTTCTTTGTCAGTACCAGACCGCTTGTTTATACTATCAGACCGCTTTTTTTATGAGAAAAGTCAAGTAGGTAGTATTAGAAGAGAGAGGGCATTTTGGTCCTAAAAACTATAAATTTTTTATTAGGAGGTATTTGTTAAAAAAGCATGTTTTTTGGTAAATGTTGCAATTAAAAAGTTGGTTGGGTAGGTTGTAAAGAAAGTTTGATCAAGGGGGTTTTTTTGTAATTTTCCTATCAAAATAAGTAAAACATCACCTAATAACTCATCAAAATAACAATTTAAGTGTTGAAAAACCTTTAGATCGAACATCTAAGCGTGATCCTCTGCGCCATCGAAGGAGGAGACCCGGTGTAGGGTGTACAAAGCTCGATTGAGGTAATCTCTAGCATCTTCCTTTTATACTTTCTAGTGATTTCTTATTCATATGATTATTATGTGCTTCATGATCCCAATATCAAATTTACACAATTTTTTTTACGTAATAAAAGTTGTTAAAGTGGCATTAAGTGAGAGTCATTGAGATCTTTGTGTTTTTATTATTTTTCATCATGTATTTGGACATTCGTAAGTAATTCGAATGGTGACATAAAGAAAAGAAAAAAAAATTAATCAATGTACACTTGCCCAGGTTACATAGTCCAGCTTTCAGACGACACAATGAATGTGACAAATCGCCCAAATAGGTACAAAACATATCATGGAGGCGATCAAGTAGCTACATATTGAAAATAAAAATATGCCTTAATCAACGAGAAAAAGCCTTATTTTATAGGCAGTAGTTGGAGTGAGAAAGGGAAGAGTTTCTTAGTCCAACTTTTACCTTTTTTTTATTAATAGATACTCGTTTTCCCACCCTACATTCATGCCGTCAATGTATCGGAAAAAAACAAAAAAAAAAAAAAAAGAGAAAAAAAAAGGAAAAAAAAGAAAGAGAATTCAGGGAAATTTACAAACAACCCCCAAGAATAGACTTCTCATGCAACTTGCCCCCAACCAAACTTGTTTTCTCACTTTTTACCCCAAAATATACTTTCCTAGTAAATACCCCCAACCAAAACTAAAAAATAAAAGAAATACTAAATTACCCTTCCTTGACTTTTACACATGCCTCTCCTCTGAACAAACGTGCGGTCCGGCAAATATACATGGCAATCGGCATTATTCTTTCTGAATAAACATGCGGTCCGACAAATGTACATTGCGACCCAACACTTTTTTCCTGAAAAAATGCAATCCACAGACCGCAGGTCCCTATGGCAGTCCAGCACTTCTGTTCTTGGACAAGCATGCGGTTTGACACTTTTTATATATGCGGTCCAATTGATAATGAAGGCAGGACGACACTTTTAATAGTTTAATGGGGTCTGGCAACCGGTACATGGTGGTCCGACGGCCTATATCGCTTTTGGCACTGTGCCTAAGCCCACGCGAGTGTCTACCCAAAATTAGTTTTTGGAAAAATTATACATATATCCGTTATATTTTGTGTTATTACGGATGTACCGAATAGTTTCCGTTATTGCGTGTCAGTCTGTTTTTTACCTTTCATAATGTAAATTTTTTAAAAAGATGATTTTTACCATTTTTCGGGTATTGAACAACCGAATTGAAAGGTTTTTTCGGATGTTCAACGTCCGAAAATAGCCTGAAAGTTTAACATTTTCGAATGTCCGTACAAAGCCAATGGGAAAATTTAATGCAAAATTTATCGTACAAAGCCAATGTTAGACATCCGAAAATATTACATTTTGAATATTGAACATCCGAAAAAGAGAATGTGAACGTTAAACTTTCGGGTTATTTTGGATATTGAATATCCGAAAAACCCTTCAATTCGGTTGTTCAAGACCCGAAAAAAAGTAAAGTCATCTTTTTAAAAAAATTACGTTATAAAAGGTAAAAATTGGACATGCATGCAATAACGAAAACTATTTGATACATCCATAATAACGCAAAGTATAATTGATATGTATGTAGTTTTTTCTTAATTTTTTATATGCGGAAAAAAGTATTTTCATCAAAAGAATGCACATTTTTTTACTTGGGGGTATTGATAGGAAAGTATATTATTGGGGTAAAAAGTGGAAAAAAGTTTGGTTCGGGTAAGTTTAATGGAAAGTCTATTCTTGGGTGGTGGTTGTAATTTTTGATATTTTCAATACAGGTGGTTTTGGCTACTAGCCGTTGGATCAAGACCTCATCTTGAGATGAAATCACCCCTCACCGATACAGCCCACTCAGCCGGTAACACCTAAATCTTTTAACCCAAAAATAGATCCCGCACTTTTCTCTCATGCTCTCTTTTATTGGGTAACGAACTCTCTCTCTTTCTTTCCGTCTCCCTCTCTCTATCCATTACGACTCATCATTTTATGTAGCCCTCTCCATCCATTACGACTCATCATTTTATGTAGCCCTCTCCATCCATTACGACTCATCATTTTATGTAGCCCATTGGCTTTGTACGATAAATTTTGCATTAACGTATTCAGTTGAAACATCTTTAACACTCGATAAGAGATGAGAGGGATGAAGACCGACCCAGCAAAACGTGAACCCAAAAGATATTTTCTAACAGGTTCCTCTCTCTATTGTAGATAACAAGAAATTGTATTCTTTTGCTGAGGTGTATGGAACTCCATTTTTGCTGTCAATGACAATTTTTTGATGGAGTTTTATCCCAAGATGAATGTTCTTTTCTATGAACCATCTCTCTCTCTCTCTATATATATATATATATATATATATATATATATATATATAT